AGGAATGTAAATATTAACAGAAGACAATCACCTCTGGACAGCCAGAGTTTAAACCTGTGTTAAAGAACAGCACATTTTGAAAAGTGACATTATATCAATGGGTACCGTCTCTGATTCATCCCCCATCGATGTGATCAGTTTATGCATTAACAGCTATGCTTATTTAACAGCCACTTCAGCAAACACATGAGCCATGGGAGACAAAGGTCAATCTGAGTTCCTTCCAAGTTAATACATCAACAGATAAGGTCAGGTGCTCTGCCTGGTCACTTTTTCCCAGAAAATCTCTCTTTAGTCTGCAACAACACAGGAGCTGATAGGTGTAATGTCCTTAATCAGAAAGGACTGAAGTGCCCGAGAACATGTGAATTAGCTCCTGGAGACGCTATACTGTATTTAGGAGAGGTCCTCCTTGAGGCAGGAGCTAAAGCAATTCTGAGTTGTCCAAGTTAGATGAGGCTACCTGCATGAACAGAAGCTCTAGCTCACTCCTCTGTCACCTCACAATTCTTTTCCTTTTGCTGCTTGCTAAAATCGCCCATCTTAATCTAAGAGTATTTTCTCCATTCAAGCATGGAAAGGGTGGGGCCAGCTTCCAGGGGGAAGTGATTGTTCCCCTGTACTGGGCACTGGTGAGGCCGCACCTCCAATCCTATGTTCAGTTTTGGGCCCCTCACTGCAAGAAGGACATTGAGGTGCTGGAACATGCCCAGAGAAGGGCAACAGAGCTGGGGAAGGGTCTGGAGCACAAGTCCTGTGAGGAGCGGCTGAGGGAACTGGGGGTGTTCATCCTGGAGAAGAGGAGGCTGAGGGGAGACCATATTGCTCTCTACAGCTGCCTGAAAGGAGGTTGCAGAGAGGTCGGAGTTGGTCTCTTCTCCCAAGTGAAAAGTGATAGGAAAAGAGGAAACGTCCTCAAGTTGCACCAGGGGAGGTTTAGACTGAATATTAGGAAAAATTTCTTTGCTGAAAGGGTTGTCAGGCATTGGAACGGGCTGCCCAAGGAGGTGGTTGAGTCACCATCCCTGGAGGTATTTAAGGGCTGAGTTGATGTGGCTCCTAGCAACATGGTTTAGCGGTGGACTTGGCAGTGTTAGGTTAATGGTTGGACTTGATGGTCTTAAAGGTCTTTTCCAACCTGAACAATTCTATGATTCTGTACCTCAGCAGTACACTGGCTGACAATAGTTTATGGTCAAATCCTTGTCCTCATTTGCTCCTGTATAAATCTGTCACTTCGAAGGGTGGAGCCAGAAACAAGAACAAGGGCGTAACTCAAACTACAAGAGTAGACTGATGTGCTGGAGAGAATCTATTCTTCCACTGGCTCTGCAGGACTGGCAGTAGAAGGCAGTAATAAAACTGAAGTGGACAGATATTCTTCGTACTTGAAAAGATCAGTATTTAAACAGGAAATTGCACTTTTTTAAGAATCACTTTCAGAAATAAAACTGCCTTCTGAAATTCATCCTGCTACTAAAAAGTCAGATGAAGATATCAAATTACAAGTGAAAGCCATGAAATTCCATCTGCATTGCTTTCATATACCTATAAAAATGTTCTAAGGGACTTTAAAAGCAGTTCAAGAGTGAAAATAAAATGATCCCCCAAAGTGCAGCTGAGATGTTAGGATCTGTAGGAGGGCATAATTGGACATTCAAGCGTGCGGTGCTGGTGGTGTTATTATTTTTGAGAAATAATGACTGAATCCTTTACATGGTCAAAAGTACCCATGTAACATTAATTGTAAAGAGCATGCACGGACAACCTGAAAAGAAACATCAGGCACCGCTTTTCTTTTGCAATTGCTCCAGTTTTCTTCTTAAGAGGTTGTAGTTTTCCTTGGTTCCAGGAGCCATAGGATCAAGCTTCAGAGAGACTTCATAGTGCTTCTTCGCCAAGTCAAGATTTCCCCAGCGATGATAAAGCACAGCTGGAACACCAACGAGGAATTTCATTAGCAATATTGTTGAATAACGTGCAATCTTGCCAATCACTTGGAAAACAACATTAAAGCGCTTGTTTTCAGTAAGGGTCTATCGCTGGCTGGTGGCACAGTAGCTGCTTGTTCTGTTGCCAAATGCAGGAGCAAAGCCTGGGAGCAGCACTGGCATGGGAATGATGAAGGAATGAATTACATTTGCAGCCATAAATGGCAGCTCTTATCTGGTGAGCTCATTGAGGGTTACAAGCACAGCATAAATGAACCAATTTGCAGACACTGAAGTGCAGCTACCTCTGGGCTGGATTGTGCAGCCCTCTTGATCTGTCATATCGTGTGACAGCTTTTCTGGTTTAGTGCCCTGTTCTTCTGGCTGGCAGTTTTTCTAGGAAGTAAAATAGAGGTCTGCCCAGCAGCAAGAAGGCTCAAAAGATTGCTTTTTCTTTTTAAACACAATTAATATGAAGCAAACAAACAATACAGCTGATAAGAGTTAGAAAGGCTCTTACCCAAATTACCATGATAACTGGCAGCATTTGGATTGGCTTTAATTGCCTTGAGGAACAAAGCTTCAGATTCCTGAATAATTTAGAAGAACAAGTCAACAGGATAGTCTACTCTTGCAGTATATAAAATAATGCAAAATTTACCCACAACTGTAACTAAAAACCCTCCCAAACTATGCCATATCTATATACTACTGTATATATATTCTAAGCCTACGTGATTCTGTATCTCAGGTGACAACAGCCTCCAGAAAAAAGTAATAATGCTACAAATAAGTGCCATGCTTTCACAGGCTGCTGTTATTTTAACAAGGAGCTATTAAGCACTAGTAAAGTTTGCAAATCAGTTTGCTTAAATCATTCTTTTTCATAGTTACAATATTTTCAAAAATTACTTACTGAAGTTTTCCATACTTATTCAGTAACGTTAAGGATAATGTAATTCAGCATCTGAGCAAACTGCTTTTAGACACCTTTCCCTTTAAAACAGTTTTTAGCATTTAAAACAGGGGCATTCCAGTAAGGCCCTTACAAACAGATGTTTCAGCAGGGTTCTCAAAGAAGAGTAGCCTACTACTAAAAAAAAAACAAAACCCAAACCAAACCCAAAAACCGTTGACTGAAATATTCCTCACAAGTTATCTTTTCCATATTCCCACTTGTGGCGTGTAGTCTTAGGACTGTTGATACCTGAGCACTTCTTCAAAAAGCTGAGCTCCCTCACCACAAATTCAGACAACAATTCACTGCTGAATTTATTCTCTAATTCAAACCTTTTTATTTTCCCCAAATAGTTGCTTATATAGACACTTTTGTTCCAGAGCATATTTCCTGCAGAAGTTCCAAAAGATACAGCCCCTTCCCCAATCCAAATGGAGCATAGTTACATGCTTGCATGCAAGTTTAGGTATTTCAGAGAGCAAATTTTACAGATTTCTATGCTGTGCTGTGTTTTAGGGAAAGTTGCTCCTTCAGTTTCAATGCAAATGACCTGAAGATAAAATTACCTCAGTGCGGTAGGCTTCCATCTGAATGCACATACTTGCTGTCTGAGGTATGTGAGAACAACAACCTGGGGAAAAGGCCTTTCCTTTGTGCTAAGCTTTTACTACTTGATATAGCCACAAAACACAACACAGGATCTACTGAAACATAAAACCTGTCAGCCAGATTTCTGGTCCCACCATCTTCTCATGTGAAGCATGAAATAAGGGTCCCTCAGGGAACAAGAAATTTCTGATGTCAAGATTGAGTCACTCAACTTTGAGCTTCCCAGTACATCAAAATTCAAACCCAAACTACATGCTTCTTTCAAAGCATTCCTTGGCACAGCTGAGGCTGCCACTCTTTAGCCAAGAGAGACTGATGCAGAAAGTGCCTTCATCTTCTCAGGTCAAGGAAATTACAAACCCGAGGGTCCTCGACTAATCTTTTTGCAGAACATCCTGTTTCAAGAGAAGGAATATTTTGATAGGAGTGAACAAGGGAACCTGATGTCTTGAAATTTAGGGAGCACATGACTCCACAGTGCAAGTTTTAGCATTACTTTTCCCTGAGATAGCAGCAGCTGCAGCATTCTCATACCCAGACTATTAATGTTCCTGGATGCACTGGACTCTGTTTTGGATGATGGGACTGGCTGCACTTTCAAAAGCTCTACAGATGGCACCTAAGAGGGGCAAGTAGGAGAGAGCTGCTCTTCAAAGGGATCTGGTCAAGACAGACAAATAGACTAGCAGGAAGCACAGAATGGTTGAGGTTGGAACGGACCTCTGGAGTTCATCTGGTCCAACCTCCTTGTCCAAGCAGGCAGGGCCAGCTACCCAGGACCATGTCTGGGCAGCATCTCTAAGGATGGAGATTCCATGACCTCTCTGGGCAACCTGTGCCAGTGCTGGGTCACAGTCAAAGAAAAAAAAATATTTCCTGATGTTCAGAGGGAACATCCCATGTTTTGGTTTGGGCTTACTGCTTCTTGTCTTGTCACTGGGTACACCACTGACAAGAGCCTGGCTCCACCCACTTTGCACCTTCAGGTATTTATATATAACTGAGATCCTGCCCCTCAGATTTCTCCAGGCTAAACATTCCCAGCCCTCTCAAACTTTCCCCATAGGAAAGATGCTCCAGGACTTCTCTGGACTCTGTCCAGTATGTTCATGGCTCTCTGGGAACTGGACACAGGATTCCAGGTGTGGCCTCACCAGTAAAGGGGAAGGATCACCTCTTTCAACTGGCTGGCAACAGTCTTAAGACAGACCAGGATATCATTAGCCTTTCTGCCACAAGGGTACGTTGCTGGCTTGTGTTCAATCAATTTGGTGTCCACCAGGACCCCAGGCACTGATCTGCCAAGCTGCTTTCCAGCCGATCAGCCCCCCAGCATGTGCAGTGCATGGGGTTGCTCCTCCCCAGCTGCAAGGCTTTGCACTTCCCCTTGTTGAACTTGATGTGGTTCCTACCAGTCCATTTCTCCAGCCTGCTGAGGTCCCTCTGGATGGTAGCACGACCCTCTGGCATCTCAGCCACTCCTCTCAGTTTGGTGTCATCTGAAAACTTGCTGAGGGTGCACTTTGCCCCACCATCCAGAGCGCTAATGAAGATGCTGAACAGGACTGGACTGCAGGAATCTCATGAAGTTCAACAAGAGTAAATGCAAAGTCCTGTATCTGGGATGGGATAACCCTATACAAAACTACAGGCTGGGGGGCAACTGTCTAAGAAACAGGTCTATAGAAATGGATCTGGTTGGCCTGGTAGGCAGCAAATTGAATAAAAAGCCATCAGCATACCCTCACAGCAAAGATGACCAACCATATCCTGGGTTGTATTAAGTACATGCACAGCCAGTAGATCCAGTGAAGCAATCCTTCTTCTCTATTTAGCACCTGGGGGATGACATCTGGAGTATGTGTCCAGATTGGTGTTCTCCATTAAGGAAAGACATGGACATCAGCAAGTCCAGCAGAGAGCCACCAACATAGCTGGGGGCTGGAGCACAAGACATACAAGGGGCGTGTGAAAGAACTGGACCTTTTCAGCCTTCAGAAGAGAAGATGAAGGAGAGATCTTATTGCCATCTACACGGTACAGAGAAGATGGAAACACTCTTCTCACAGGTCTGTGGATGCAAGCTGGCATACAGGAAATTGCAATTAGATAAAATGAAACTTCACCCCACACATACTCTAAGGGTGGTCAAGCACTGTAAGATTCTGACCAGACCAGTTTTAGAATCTCCATCCGTACAGGTTTTCAAGATTCAATTTGAGATGGCCCTGGTTTGGGTCAGGTGTTAGACCAGATAACCTCTTGACGCCCCTTCCAGTCAAAATTACTCTATGATACTAAGTCAGTCATTGGAGAATCATACTGAAACTCGAACATTTGGCAAGCCTGGTGGTGTTGCAAGACAACCAGACAAGCCTAAAAATCAACAGTGGATTTGCACTTGAGAGCATGTAGCTGTATGAAGTCCCACAAATCTGTATTTTTTCCACTGCAAATTTTAGTTTTTTGGTCTAGTAAGTAGGTCTTCGCTTTCTTCACTGGGCAGGTTAACAGCAATCAAAGTGAAACCTGTTGTGTCCAATTAATTCAGTTTTGTGCCTAAAAGTTGCCACCTACACAAAGGAGAAGCATCTAATATATGGGCTAATCCTTTCACTGCTGAAGCGCAAAGGGGCAACATGTGCAATGCATTCCCAGAAAATTTAATGAAATAGATTCTCAGAGTTGGCTGCCATTACCATACATCTTCAGCTACATGCTGACAACATTTTTGTCACCACTGCTTTGCTCAGCAGCTAGTAGAAGCATACTGGCTGATTAAAGGCTATTTAAGGTGCATCATATTCATATTACTGTAGATATATGGAGTAAATATACATTCCATTACATCCGGCGATATTTGAAATTGCTCTGTCTTGCCAAATCTTTAAGTGTTGCCAAGGAACTTAGACACTGCATACAGCAAAGGCGTTGAGTAAGCACACTGCATTCCATCTGCTGCCAAGGCCACAGCACAAAATTGTAGCTTGGCTTTATTTCAAATACAAAAAATGCTGAATGGTTTTGAATTATTGTACTTTTTACAGAAAAAGCATAGATGTATACATAACAAAACCACAGCACACATAGTTTCAAAGAACTAAACATAGCTTGGTTCTTCATCCATTGTGACAAGAAGCAGCATTGAAAGGAGAACTCTAACTTGCTATAACAGATGTTAATTAAAAAAAAAATCAAAACCAAAACAAAACCACCAAAACAGCTCATCCTTGATGTGCTATTGTTTCTGGAACAATAAATCATTCATGAGTAGATACAAACAGAAATCATAAAGGGTTGGGGTTTTTTTAGTCACTTAGGAAAACCATCTTCTGCTGAAAATCAAAGTGCATTTAAAACTGAAGGAGACTATTGTGTGCTTATTGGAAGGAAAGCTTTCATAACATAGTGAAACCTTTTTGACTCAATGTCTTTTAAAATAAGGGATAACAAAAATCCCAGAACAAATCTTGCTTTATGGCAACAGAGCCAATACAGTAACAACTTTTATACAGACACATAACTAGTAACCTAATAAATGAAATGCCTAAGGTTATACAACACATCAGACACAGCCAGGCAGCCCTCTGAAAATTACCTCCATCACCTTGACAGTCTCCATCCTCCTCTCCTCCCTTCCCACCCCAAACACTCAATAAAAACCCTTAAAGAGCCATCCACTTCTCTCTTTGTTTTCATGGTGAAGGGTAGACAAGGAATATGAATTTTCCATGGTTTTTTATTGTCATTTAGCATTCTCTCACTTAAAAACCCCTCTCTCTTCAAGCAATGCAAAACACAGCTGCTGATATCATTAACCTTTTCCAAGTGAGCCCACTTCCCTGTTCCCTTAATTTGCTCTCCCTGTTATAACCTTATCAGTTTCAAGCTACTAGTTAAGTTTTTAGCTCTATGCAAACCTAGTTCTCCATATTGAACTATTACAGCACTCACTGGCTCTCTGCTTTCTTCCCTGGACTCCACTGCTCCTTTTGCTTTATTCAGGATGCTGACTTGAAAGCTTCATTTTCTCCCACTATCATGTCTACTTTGTCTCCAACACATTCTCCTGCAGCATAATGACCTTTCAGAGCTAGCAATCAAAATCACTACCTCCTCTCCTATTTTTTTTAAATCCACTAAGACAGACTTGTCTCTCCTACACCTGGAAAAGTTTTCTATCTTGTTTTCAACTTATTTTTTCTACTTTTTCATTATAAATGCTCTTTATTCTGTCATGCTGTATACTCTTCTTGATGAATAACGATACAATCTTTTATTCTTTCAAAATCATGACTCACCAAAATAATCCTGACAATTACCTCCTCCATAACCTCATCCCTTATGCATTCTAGATGTTAATTCCTATCTTTCTGGAACTTTGTTAAAGTAACCTAAAAATATATGTTTTATAACAGTCTCAGGTGGAGAGAGAAAAGAGAGTGTACAGGAAAACCCCCCAGCCAGTCTAGAGAAACAGTAAAGGGGAGTGTCTAATCGCATCACAAACACAAACACAAGCAAGTGCTGAGCTGTCACAGGCCCTGGCTTCACGTGTGGAGATGCCATGACTTCACAGCCCAGCAGGATTGTAGAAATTTAAGTGGACACAGAGTAATTGGTGGAAAAATTGTATTTCTTCTCAGAAGTTTATCATCATATAAATCTTCTGACTTTGCATATTCTGAGGATGTTCCTTCAGTGCTGCTAACATCATCACTATCAAGAAGCCATCAAAACCCCCAAAAGCCACAGTTGAGTAAATGATGTTTTCCTGAGGAATACCAAAAACTTCCTTGATTATTAATTTGTCTCTATCACATACATAAATCAATGGCTATAGAGTCAATTAAAACAACTAAAGATAACTGTGTATGATTTATTCTGTTAGCTCAAAATCAGTGCTGCTAACATCATCACTATCAAGAAGCCATCAAAACCCCCAAAAGCCACAGTTGAGTAAATGATGTTTTCCTGAGGAATACCAAAAACTTCCTTGATTATTAATTTGTCTCTATCACATACATAAATCAATGGCTATAGAGTCAATTAAAACAACTAAAGATAACTGTGTATGATTTATTCTGTTAGCTCAAAAATTTTGGAATCTTTCCCATCGGTTCCATTACAGTTACTACTTGTAAATATAAGTAGCTAATGCTGAGTACCACTCATAGGCTGGGCCACTGCATCCAAGAGAAAGTTTAACACATTGCTCAATCTCCTCATAATATTGTGGGATTACTCAGGTATCCCATCCTTAATCTGGGATTAGCAAATCTGTAGTATCTCTATTTTAGAGGGCGTCTAAAGCAACGAGGCTAGAATTCATATCGGGTAATGGTAAACCTTGCTGCCTTTACATACAAGAAGCACAAGGACTAGCATATCACATCTAATTTTAGTTCCTGAACCGAGGCCTCTAAATCAGAGCAGGCTTTCTCCACTGGCAGTGAAGCAATGGAAGACTCTAACTGCCCTCTAGTGTGCTTAACAGCCTATTTCTCTCCGCTGACCACTGACATAGTTTAGGGCAGCAACATTCCTAACACAATTAAAAATATATTGGGATGAACTCAGGCCAGAATCACACAGCAATACTGTGACAGAAATGGGCACTGAAACCCAATTATCGAAGTCATAGTCCACAATGACCTCCTCAGACACTTTCTACAGAAATTTACAGAGTTTAAACAGGAAAAAACCAAAACAAAACAAATGCGCAGAACACTCTAGTTACCTACCTTATATTTCTGTGATTTGCCCAGTACATTTGCCAATGAAAACATAAGGGAATGATCATTGGGTATTAATTCCAGGGCCTCTCTTCCAACTGCTTCTGCTTGAGCTAGATTGCCTGGGAGCCCATGCAGTGGGGGGGGGGAAAAAAAAAGGCATCTTGTAACACAGCCTTATTAGTTACTTTTTATGCTGCAAGCACACACTTTGTATGAATAGCTGATTACATGCATTTTTAAGGAAAAACCGGGTATCACACACAAAAATGTAAACCCCTGCAGAACAAGACAATCGCAAACCTCCATTTCGTTTTCAACAGATAACACTTTGAGAAGAACAACAAAGCTGAGATCCGAAAGTTCTGAAGTTTGGTCTACAACGTGCATCCATAACGATGGCATTTCCAATAAGGTTCAGAAACTCAATTTATGGGCTGGATTTAAAGCGATACTTTAAAACCACTGAGTCAGAAGTTATTCTTATATTTATAAAGAGTGCCTGGGTAGCCAAAGAAGTGGCAGAACTCCTTTTAGATGAGTACAGATAAGGGTTTACGTTTTGCAAGACACTGAATTATTCATTAAAACATTCAAATGGGTTTATACCTGTGTTATCAAGCAATATAATCATATTGTTCCAAGCTAAACTATGCTCTGGCTTCAGAACTGTAGCATTCCTCCATGCATTCAATGCATCTATATGGCGATTCAAATCTGCATACTAAACAGAAAGAAAAACTCAGTAATTTCACCCTGATTTGCTTTACTTTCCTATCATACACTAAAGATACCGAAGAGTTGGTAATGCTTCATTCCATTCCAGTAGAACATGTTTTCATAGACAAAATAAGAAATGTCAAAAGAATACTAAGGTAGTATGGAAGAATAGAGTGCTATATTCTGATTTTACCCTGCTTTTCTCTGGGACGCAGGCCTGGTTTCAAATATGCATGTACCAACAGGGCAGGGAAGAAAACCAGCACACAATTTAAAAATCTACACAAGAGAATAAGTAAATATTTAATATAAATATTTCCAAGAATCAAAACAGATTTTTTTGACACAGTTCTACTACCTAACAACATACTAATGACTGCAAAACAGCCTAATACTGGGAAATGGTTAAGAATATATTCTGAACAGAAGATTACAAACTATATTTTTCCTTATCCCTCTTTGTATGAAAAAGTAGGACAGCCAAAGTTTGTGTGGAAGGAAATATACTGGGAAAGCTACCAAAAATATGAAATCACCCTGAACTACAGAACAAGCGAATTGGAATACCTATCACCATTTAACAGAACAGCAGAATGTGTATATACATATACATATATATACACACAAACACACACACACACACAGAGATTACTGTCATAGCTATCATTTGTTCAAAAGCACTTACCAACCGCCCTAAATTGTAGTAACAATCTGGGTATTTTTTCCTGTGTTTAATTGCTGTCCAGTAGCTTTGCTCTGCTTCTTCAAACCTTCTTAAACTGTTCTGTACTATTCCCAGATTCATCCATGCAGCAGCAAAATCAGGCCTGGGCAAATTGGGAAAAAAACCCAAGAGAGAGGGACAATTGAGCATTTGGAACGCAAGACCTTATTGTATCATTTCTGCTCAGTTGGTGCAAAACACTGCTTAGCATTGTTCTAAACGTACTGTATTTGTACAGCTAAGGACAGCAACTCCTCTGCTTCTTGGAGCTCATTTCTTTCTTTCAGAATATTTCCAAGGTTGTTCATAGCGTGTACATATTTCGGATTCAACCTAAAATTTAAAATTTAAGAGCTGATTATTATGTATGGGACACATATTACTATATGCACATTGCCAGCTCTGCAAGGTTGCAGACCATCAAAATGAGTATCTAAGCATTTTGTTCATGTTAAACAGGAAAGCAGAATAGTTCATTAAGGCAGTAAAATTCCTAATACCTTACAGCTTCTCTGTAGTATTTGATTGCAGCACTTTGATTTCCTTTGTCAGCCAGGTTTTTGCCAACATTATAGTGTACCTGAAAACACAGATGAACATTCTACCAGATGCTGTGTACAGTTAGATATTTTGTGGAGCCAAGTTGCTAAAAATTCTTACTGAAAATACATAGTCAGCGCTTGTGTCATTCACTGCTGGCTTTTGTTGTAGGTGGATATTTAAGATTGGACAATATATACAATGCAGACAGCAAGACAAAATCTGAGGAATAAATGAATGAATCAGCTTACCCATTCCAGCTATTTAAGAAAGATTATTCACTTGCTGATTTTATAAACTAGGTCACCATGCTTTCCACAAGACTCTCTTTCTATTGAGACCTCCTGCTCTTCATTGAATTTATTTTTCAGATAAGTAAGAGAAAATTACTCCATTTCACCACAGCAGAAGAAACATTGCAGCAACCTAAGCATTGATTAAACTTTGCTTTTGCTATAGCATAAACTAGAAGAAACTCAACGGAAAAACAAAGCTCCATATTTCAAAACCAAACAAAAACTAACACACACACACACACAATTATTGTCTTGGGATAAAAATGCACCAAACAGCATTTCTGAAATAAAAATAATGTGTATGGCAACTTGTTGGAGACTCTGCCTATTAAGAAGAGGAGAATGAAGGAAGGATCTAGAGCTTTGGGATACAGCTTCAGGGAAGAAGCCACATCATCTGAAGTTATGGCAAGGACTAGACAGGAATAAATATATTTCAAAACAATCTGAGTTGGAAAACATCTCAAATCCTACTTTAGGACAAATCTCAGAAGACTACATCACCTGATGAAAGAGAAGATTCAAGTTTAGAAATAACAGAAAGGTACTGGGAGTACTGACTCCTGAAAATAGACTTTTCAGCAACTAGATCAGAACTCATTATTTAAATTACCTAATTATCTGAAATCAAATTGTATATACTTCATCTAAACCAAACGCGTAGTGTAATTTCTGCCATACATTGAAAATCTAATATAAATATTTCCAAAAATATTACACAGGAATTACTTCAGATTGAAGTACAAAAAGATAGGTTCGTAATGCATTTAGACATCATCTTCATTCACAAAAGGATTTTCTCTCATGTGTCCATCAAAGGAAAAATCCAAATTGTATTTGGCATAATACCTGGGACCTATTGATGCAGCACAAACAATTATGTTTGAACCTAACTGTTACGGTATTTAATTGTTGAATTCCATCTCTATATGGCTGTGACTATGCAGTAACATACCATTGACAAATAAAGTTAAGAACATTTTCCATGCTTTCTAGAATGAGTGGTAAAGTAGTTTCACTGGTTTTACGGACAGCAAAGATGCCATAAAGCTTACTAAGCTTATGCAGAAGCAGCTCCTCAGGCTGCAAGATATAAAACAGCACAAAAATTTAGCATCCCATAAAAGCAGTTCCAGCACAACTTCCAAGAAAAAAAAATAAAAAATCCAAGCACTTCCGCCGTACATTCATAGAAATATGACAAGGCCCATGCCAAAGAAGCAATGGAATGGTACATTTATACCAGCACTTAGCCATTCATAAAGATCAGTTGAAGGTGTGAAAAAAACCCCAAGCAGAATAGCATTGTTTTCCCACTACTCTTTTGAGTAAAACAATATGCCCTGAAAGATGTTTCTTAGGACTGAATTCTATTTGTATATCTCTTCCAGAAATTTCTCAGCATACTGTGATAACACTCTTACCAATCTGGACTGCTCTGATTATATATGCTGAAGTTTGTAGACTCAAAATTTATTCAGAGCAACATTAGGTGATTAAACTTTGCTGTGTTTCCAGATAAAAGATAAATTGTGGCTAACCAGAAATAAGGAAAGGTTTCACTCAACAATATATATTAGCCCTTAAAATACCTGACTTCACATTTCAAGATCGGCAAACAAGATTACGTTAACCTGATTCAATTTCTTTAAGAAGCTTTAAGAAAGTTCAAAAATTTTGTGGTTCCCCTCCCCATTTTACAAAATGTCATAAGCATTACTGAAAGAAGAAATTTGATTGAAGACTGGGGACAGAGAATGAGAAAAAAACCTGTATACACCAACCACTCAGTCTTTCAAATGTCAGCTGTCTTATGTTAAGAAACAGTCAGCACTGCCCTTTCTATCTTTCTCATTTTTTTAAAAACATGGACCTTCTTTATATCCATTT